ACTCCACATCGGGACCCATGGCCTGGAATGGAACGAACAGGATGACAGACTGTCTGAGTTCATCATGTCAACCAAGACCTTCCATGGTAACTCACAGTTCCAAAAGGCTGAATCTAAACGTTGGACATGGGAGTCTCCCAGTGGACGGTTCCACAATGAAATAGACCACATCATATTCAATCGGTGGTTTTGCCTAACCAATGTTTCTGTTGTCCCAAAATTCCAAACGGGATCAGACCACCGTCTCCTTCGTGCAAAATTCTACCTCACAGAACGAGGAGAAAAGAATGCAAAGTTTAAGAAGAGAACTCCCAGAACGACCACCAACTGGGAGCTCTTTGGCTCTGTTGGAGCAATATGGGAAGATGCCATCATTGACAACATTGATGAGGAATACGATCAAATGATTCAGCACCTCCATGATTGTGTGAGGAATGCCAAGAGAGAGATAATCACAAAAAAACGCCTTTCTTTGAACACTCTTGAACTTATTCGCCAACGTGGTTTGGCACATGCCTCAGGCAACCACGTCCGAGCTGGCAAAACAATGCAGAGAAGCCATCAAGGATGACCTCAAAGACAAGAGAGCAGCGGTGCTGGTAGATTTTCCTGGTAGAAGCCGGGAAAAGCATTTGTAATGCCCCCTTGTCCTTCACCAAATACAAGACCAAGATGACTGACCTCCGGCATCCTGATGGATCTATCACATCTTTCAGAAGGGCAATGGAGAAGATTATTCATGACTTCTACTCAGATCTCTTTAATATCCACATCCACTTGCCCACATACCACATTTCACATGATGGATATGTCGTTCCCAATGTTCTCCCTTCCGAAATCCAACATGCCATCTCGTCAGTAAAGAAACAAAGAGTACCTGGCCCAAACAAGATCAAACCTGAACACCTGAAGAACTTACCATCAGTACTCATCAATACACTGGCTCGGCTCTTCACACGCTCCCTGTCTGAATGCAAGGTTCCATCCCAATGGAAAACCAGCAGGACTGTACTACTATACAAGAAGGGAGACATCCACGACATTGGCAACTATCGCCCAATCTGCCTATTGTCTGTCATCTACAAACTGTTCACTCGAGTCATTCTCAATAGGATTAGCAGAACACTAGATGAAGGACAACCATGTGAACAAACCAGATTCCGAAAAGGATTCAGTACCATCGACCATATCCACAAGATTACTAAGCTCATTGACGTTTCTCAGGAGTTTAAGATGCCAAGATGCCGCTCTGTCTAACGTTCATTGATTTAAAGAAGGCCTTTGATTCTGTTGAGACGGAAGCGGTCATAGAAGCCCTAGTCAATCAGGGCGTACAAACTCAATACATCTGGATCCTTCGTGAGCTCTATTACAGATTCACTACCAGGATCTCACCATTCTACAAAGAAGTAATCATTCATGTCAAGAGAGGGGTTCGGCAGGGTGATACCATTTCACCGAAACTCTTCAGTGCCACCCTCGAGAACATCATGCGACGACTGGAATGGGAAAGATTGGGAGTGAAGATAAATAGTCGGCAACTACACCACCTTCGCTTTGCTGATGACATCGTTCTAATAACACCAAACATCAGCCAAGCGGCACAAATGCTGGCCGACTTTGACCGTGAGTGTGGAAAGGTCGGACTACAGCTGTATCTTATGAAGACAATGTTTATGAGAAACAGCCTTGTTCCGGATGCTCCATTCGCTCTCAACGGAACCACTATCTCCAAATGCAACAGTTATATATACCTAGGTCGAGAAATCAACATGATGAATGACCTGGCACCTGAGTTGCGCAGGAGTAAGAGAGCGGCTTGGAATGCCTTCAAGAGCGTTGAAGAAATAACTAAGAGGACAAAGAACCTCCAGCTACGAGCACATCTCTTTGATTCCACTTTTCTTCCTGCATTAACATATGCCTCAGAGACCTGGGCTCTAGGAAAACAAGATGAGAATGCTATTCGGGTTTATCAAAGAGGAATCAAAAGAACTATGCTTGGAATATCACGATTCACTATTCATTCAGTGAGAGATAGAATCCGGAGTTCTGATCTCTGTCAACGCTCAAGAATCAGGGACGCTGTCTCATTTTCCAAGGCATCAAAAATCAGATGGACTGGACACATAATGAGGTTTACAGACAACCACTAGACTAGAGCCATTACTGACTGGATTCCACGGGACATCAAAAGATCGCGTGGATGCCCACCTACAAGATGGTCAGACTTCTTCATCAAGACCCTGAATGATCAGTTTGAGGCTCTGCATGTTCCTAGAACGAACAGATGCCATTGGGCTACGCTAGCACGCAACAGGGATGAATGGAGACGTTACTGGCACCACTCGAGTAAATCGATGAATAACGGGGGATCAAGTGATCAAGTGATTTTATGGAGGTATGATTAGTGACTCATTATGTGGTCTAGGAGAATCCCACCACCATTGCACCTTCCCGCCACCAGCATTTCCACTTTTCCCAAGCACCACTAGCTAACCTTATTAGAGGGCCACGTAATTATGACTCTCATTTTGGTCCCAAATATTGCACCTTTAGATATAGACTTATTATAATTAAAATATATTCACATACAAAAATATGTACTTATTTTTTGGAAAAATTATTCCTGGTATCCAAAAATTTTAATAATCTAGATATTTAACAACTAATATGTGGATTTAATAATAGGTATATACATCCAGTGGAATATTCCTCAACAAAAATACTGAGTAAAATACAATAATATTGAAATAAAAAATACTGAGAGAAAAAAATAATGACTCTCTTGCCTTTCTGTACTTTTCATTAGCTTTCACCTTCCAGTATTGTGGTGGTAAGCCTTAAGGCCTGCCTGATCCTCAGTGCTCTTATCATTCTTATTTTCATAGACCTCTTCTCTTGTCCTTCAGGTCTCCTTCAATTCCATTCCAAGCCAACCCATCAATTGGCAACAAAACTGTTATTACTATAAACCAAGTTAGGAAAATTTCAGGGAAAACTTCTTCCATTTAGGCATGTATTGCTCTCAAAGTATCTCCCATTCTTTCCTAAATTTGCAATTCAAACTTCCATGATCTGGAAACCAAGGGAAATTCTGTTGAATTTCCAGATAATAATTTCCCTTGGTTTCCAGATAATAATTTAATAATTCCAGATGATAATAATTTTCTAAAACCTTTAGTATGAATATTGGCACCAGCAGCATTGTCAAGAGTCTGAAGACTCTAATGTAATTCTTTTACTATAAGCTCAAATATTTTTTATTTATTAGTGCCCTGTCTCCTGAAGCTATAAATCCTACCAGCATAGTTCCACTTTCTCACCTTGAGATGATTTCTATGAGCTGGAACACCTTGAACATATCCACTTTCAGCGGATTTCATAGGCTTTTTCTGTGATGATTTCTTTCTGCTATTAAAAGAGGTGTGCTAGCAGTTCCATTTTTACCTATGGACCTAAACTCATCCCCAAGGTTCCTTCTTAATATTCTTGGAATTCCCCAAGACCATAAAATTCAGTCTTGGAGTTTAGGCTCACAGGGAGACTAAGATGAATGAACAAAGTCTGAGGCAGTGGCCAGAAAGACTTAAGTCAGCTATATCACTCTTTAAAAGATTATTTTTATAAAGTTGTTAATGATTACTTGTCACATTCAATATTCCAAAACCAATCCCACCACCATTGCACCTTCCCGCCACCAGTATTTCCACTTTTCCCAAGCACCACTCAAGCCTTTCTCAATAGCAGGCCCTAAGTAATTTATTTCATATTGCTTGTTATGAATAATTCACTAAATGATAAAAATATTCCTTAGAAGTGTATGAAGCAAATAAACTTTCTCTCTGAAATATTCTTCTAAATTCAATACTTTCTTTCTCAGTTTTTTTCATTTAGTTATCTTTTCATAAGAATACTCTAAAATGGGCTGGAGCAATAGCACAGTGGGTAGGGCATTCGCCTTACAAGCGGCCAACATGGCCAACCCGAGTTCGATTCCTCCGCCCCTCTTGGAGAGCCCGGCAAGCTACCGAGAGTATTCGTTATGCCAGACACAGTAACAACAAAGTCTCCAATGGAGACGTTACTGGGCCCACTCGAGCAAATCGACGATCAACGGGAGGACTCTAAAATAGGTAAATAGGAAGTCTTTGCACTTAAAGAGTAGATAATAATGGAAATATTATAAGATGAGAAGCTGATATATACTTGATATATAATATTAAGGTAATTGAAGGTGAATGATTTACTTTATTTTTTTTTCTTTCGTAAGTTTTTATTGGTTGGTTTGAGGATCAGTATACAGACATTTCAATTTGTATACAATTTTTAATGTACATACCAAGAATCAGAAAAAGGGAATTGTAATTCCTTTCTAAGTGGTGTCCAGTGACCACTGACTTTCCACCTACAATTTGGAGACAAATTTTTTTGACCTGGTTATCAAGTACCAATATCTTCAAATGAATTTTCATCTGTTACATCATAATTCCTACTAATTTACAATTTAGCATCATGTACACTACAAACGCAAATTCTTTTATTTTGCACAGCACGGGAACAAAATTACTAGGGAAACTAGACGACCAGGACCAATGATATGACATTAAACTCGTGAAATTCTGACAGGGAAAGCCAGGAACAAGGAGTGGTTTTCTTGAGGAAACATTTCTACCCAAACTCAGCACAGGGACAGAGTAACCGAAAATGCTGACACCTCTTAACACACGCCTGGTACGCCAAACCGCAATTCTGTGTGCTTTGTAGACATAGGATATAAAAACTGCCCTCCACCTATGGAATGTTGACAACCCACACATTCAAAGACTCCCATATCCAATAATCCCACTATTCTCTGGTTGTACCCAAAAATAAACAACCAGCAAACAATTTCACCTCTAAAAAAAACATTTACACTTAAAAATGGGATGAGGCGGGATTCCCTCCTTCTTAAAATTATTTCTAGAGCTATTTAAAACTTACATTTACAGAATAGTTGATAAAAATATTCCTCTGGATTGTACAAGAAGGGAGCAGGCGCATTGGTGCATGTGGGACCCGGCATTGCTCAGATGTGGCTTCTCTCTTATGCGGCGTCAGAGGCAGGACTCTCCTGGGGCTTGGTCTCTCCGTTCTCAGCAGGCAGGTCTTCCTTCCATTCTTGGTTGGCCATGTCCGCCTGCTTCCCTTTGGCTCCCCGCTTCCCCTTCACTTTCACTTTCTTGTCTGAAGATTTATCCTTCACTGTCGCCTTGTTGGGCTTCGCCTGGACTTTGGCAGGCGCGGGTTTAGCGGACAGCCTGGCTGATCTCCTCTTGGGATCCTCCTTGGCCGCTCCCTCGGTGGCGCTCACATTCCTCTTGGGCATACTGGCGCCCGAGCCTCCACCTAGCTGCGCTGCAGGAACCGCCGCTGCCGCTGCGCCCCAGATGATTTACTTAAAAATGTTTGTATAATGTGATTTGATTGCCTTTGTAGATTTTATCATATTAAATTATTATACTGTAAAAAAAGAAGTGTATGAGGATTGTTGTATCTTACCGTGGAGTCAATAAATCCTTCAATAAGATATTACTAACATGTTGTTACAGGTTGAGCCTAGTGTGCTAATACTTTTTTTTTATCAAGATTTGTTACCTTCTACTTTATATCCCATCAATGTGGTGTGCTACTCATGGCATATCAGTGATGTATACTTTTAGATGTTGTGCAGCTGCATTCGCAGTGGCACACTCCAAGAATACTAAAATTTTGAATGGGGTGATACAGCTGGAGTTAATATTTTAATGGATGGTGACTTTGGATTCTGGAAGCATCTCTGCAGTTTACTATATCCTTTTGAGATTCATTTAAGATTCTCTGGATCATGGTTGCTTAGTGAGCATATTTGGCACCAGAGACAATTTATGGGCATGACTTCCAGGCTCCCAGAAGAACAGGGAGATGGGGGATGTAGCCCATCCTTGATTCCACAAAAAACCTGGAGATTTCAATCACAAAGTCTGTAGACCTGAGTTTTTCAACAAATAAATTTCTGCATGAGGCTTGTCCCAAGTTGTAGAGACCAGCCTTGAGCATAGCAGTGATTGTGGACTGTGGAGGTTTTTGGTTCTCTGTTTCGGTGGGCGATGGGTTCACCCGCCCTCCTCTGGGGTACCCTGGAGAATCAGCCTGGTGCGGGGTCCAGAAAAATCTATGCAGCTTGTAGATCAATTTTAATATTTATTTATGAGTCTCTGTATCATGGCCTGTTAATAAGCTTATTTGGTGCCAGAGTCAGTTTATGGGCATGACTGCCAGGTTCCTTGAAAAACAGGAAGATTGGCGGTGTGGGGGGACAGCAGCTCACTCCCAACGCCAGGAGAGCCTGGATATTTCAGAGCTAGGCCATTCTTTAACTTTCTACATTCTCTGTAACACAAAGACACAGTTTTCCTATTAATAAACCCCACAAAATCAGCCATACTTAAATTAGTTATAATCTAAATTCCTCCCCAGTGGGGAGTTCCTTTTTCTTCTGCTTTTCTAAATTATTTTTCTGCTTTTAAACTCTGAGACTGAACATCTTTGTTACTAAATATTTTCGGTCTTAAAAATATCGAAGAATTTGGAAATTGTGCATTAACACAGAGACCTGCTGTCACCACTCCTTCATCATTATTCTATCACATCAGGGTCGCCATTTGTCTAATGCCTATCAGATTGTAACCTTGGATCTTTGTCCTATAGGAATCAGTTACAGATAATCAGACAAACAACACATATGGAGACAAACACACTGGAGTGTCCTAGATTTAGGGTCTACTGTGCAGCTCTCAGTAGTCTCAGAGGACAGTCATGTATTCAGTACAGTATCATTTCATTTCACTTGCTCACTTCTTTTTGTTCCTTCTTTCCTAATTGCTTCAGTTGCTTGTTAGTGTTCTTGTTTATTGATGTAGGCCTGTCTTGTAATGAACTCCCCCATAACATAGCTTTCGTTGCATTCTATAGGATCTAATGGTTCATCTCCTCATTTCCATGGATCTCCAGATAATTTTTAAGTTTATGCTATTCTTTCTTCATTTATAAATTTCAACTATTATTTCTACTATTATTCCTGCCTATGGAGTGATATCACAGCGGGTAGGGTGTTTGCCTTGCAAGCGGCCGACATGGCCGACCCGGGTTCAATTCCTCCGCCCCTCTCGAAGAGGCCAGTAAGCTCCCGAGAGTATCTCGCCTGCATGGAAAAGCCTGGAAAGCTACTCGTGACATATTCAATATGCCAAAAACAGTAACAACAAAGTCTCACACTGGAGACGTTACTGGGCCCGCTCGAGAAAATCAATGAACAATGGGAGGACAGTGACAGTGACATTCAGAAGAATGATATTTGTACATTTGAGATTATTCCCATTTTCTTTTTGTTATTTAATTCTGTTTCCAAAGTGATGTAGGCAGATAGACAGGGAAGGGCCCCATGGCAAGGGAATTTCTAGGAAATAATAAAATGAATAGCCCAAGACTGCAAAAAACAAATCTTGCAGACACAGGAACCAAAGCCTTATAAGAATTCATTTGGCACCAACAGACCCAGAGAAGTCTGGAAAACACCTCCGAGAGAAACTCTACCAGGAACAATTGCAAAGGAAAGAAATTTCAAAGAAGACCATCATAAACCACCTCCAACTTTATCTATCCCCTTCGCAACAACCCTAGCAATGGACTCTTATTTAATTCGATGCTCCAGATGGAGCTGCTTGGGAAAAACCCTATAAAAGCCAACTTGAACAAAGGAAGCACACACATATGCTGCCCAACCCCACGTGCTACTTGTGTCCACGTGACCAAGCACATGTGGTGCCTAAGCACATATGTTACCTGCATCTCACCTCTTGAGATGTGTACTGGGATATCTGCCTTTGGAGAAGCCTGTGTTCTATGTTCAGTGGGTTACTCTCCTTTCTCCCTTTCCTCAAAACCTCTCCAGATAAAATTTGTGTTGAATTCATGACTAGTATCCTCCTGAAATTCTTTTCTATGAGAAGGACAAGGATCTGTAAGGATTTCTTTTCCTACTAAGAGCAAATCCTGCTTCAGCGTGAGTCCACAGCTCCCCAACAAATCGTATGGTGGGGATTAAACAACCATGCCAAGAAGGTTAAGTGGGCACTAGGTGTGGCTCGACAGCCACCTAGTGGGGCTGCTGGGGCTCTCATCCATACTTGGAAGGGCCTTATTATAGACTTTATTAGTTTTTGTCTTTAAAATATGATTTGTTTATAATTAGAAATGCTCCATTTGAAGGGCTGAAGTTAAGGAGTTAAGGCACTTTCTTTGCTTGCAGCTGACCCCAGTTCAATTCCTGGCACTGCATATGGTTCACCTAGCAAGTGCCAGGCGTCACTTTTGAGCACAGAGCCCAAAATTATTTTAAAATTTTATTTTATTGAATCACCATGAGATACAGTTACAAGCTTCCATGTTTGAATTATAATCATACATTGTTCAAACACCCATCCTTCCACCAGTACACTTTCCCCACCACCAATCTCCCCAGTATACCCCCCTTTCCCACCCTCCCCCTTCCTCCATGGCACACAATTTCCTTCATACTCTCTCTCTACTTTTGGGCACTATGGTTTGCAATACAGATACCGAGAGGCCATCACTTTAAGATCAATCCTTTATTTTCTTTCAGCACATATCTCCCATCCTGACCGATCCTTCCAACCATCATTTTCTTAGTGATCCTTTCTCCATTCCAGCTGCCTTTTCCTCCTGCTCATGAGGAGGCTTCAAACTATGGAGCAATCTTCCTGGCACTTGTGTCTACTGTCCTTGGGTGTCAAACTGCACTCATTTGTGGAGTATAAAATAACATAACATGAGGGCCCCAAATTTCTTAAAAGCCTCCATATGAACTTGAGAAAAAAATGTTTACTCATTTCATTTGGAATAAAAATTTTTGTATATACTTATTAAGCCCTTTTCATCAACTGCTTCATTTAATGTCATATTTCCTTGTTAATGTATGAATGATCTGTATATTGCTATATGTGGCATGTTGAGATCTACACATACTGTGTTTATATGTATCACTGTAAAGCATTGTTTCAAATATTGGGTACTTTTTGTGGGGTACATGTATATTGGTGACCATAACATATCTTCTTAATAATTTAACCTTCGGTCATTTAATGTCACCTTTCTCTTTCTCTTATTTTGTTTTCATGGTTGAAAGTCTATTGAATCAGACATGAAACAAGTTGTTCCTTAAAGTTTTTATTATTAGCTTAGAACACATTACTCCTGACTTTCACTCTACACCTATATTTTTCTAAATGCTCCTGATTTTCATGTGTAGAGTATAGACAGATTCTTTTCAATACATTCAGATGCTGTATCTTTTTTATGCATTCAGACCATTGACATTAGGCTAATTATTGGTATATTAAACTTACTTACGATCATTATATATTTTGATTTCTATTTATTTCATATTTATATTTTTCCCTTTGCCTTCTATTTACTGTTGATTTTGTTGTTATGTATGGAGGTTACAAACATGCCTGGCTGTGGTGCTGGCACATTTTTGTTGTGTTTTCTGGGAGTCGTACATCAAGTTACTGTGCTCATATACTTAGCCATGGTGTTTGCCAAAGTTTACACTTCATTAATTATTGTGCTTGCACACATACTTGCTCGCCATGGATAGTGGTTCTCATACATGCACCTTTTATTCACTATACCTGCAGAGGTTGCTTTGGTGCTTGCACATGTTCTTACCAGGAATGGCACTGTGGCGGGAGGCAGACCATGAGAATATGGTCTGGAAAGCATGGAGTCCTAATTTATAGTAACAATAGCAGACCACGGGGCTGGAGCGATAGCACAGCGGGTAGGGTGTTTGCCTTGCACGCAGACAACATGGCCGACCCAAGTTCGATTCCTCCGCCCCTCTCGGAGAGCCCGGCAAGCTACTGAGAGTATCTCGCCTGCACAGCAGAGCCTGGCAAGCTACCCGTGACGTATCCGATATGCCAAACACAGTAACAACAAGTCTCAAGATGAAGACATTACTGGGCCCGCTCGAGCAAATCGATGAACAACAGGAGGACAGTGACAGTGACAGCAGACCACAAAATGGGTGTACTTAAAGACCTGAACCCATAACTTGAAACTATTATTACTGCTAGTGAGAAGAAAATGGAGTCATCTCAGACATAACTTTCAATTTGTGTGAACTTTACATTGAGTCAGGAGATGTCTTGGATATCAAAAAACTGTAAAGAAGGTGGTGGTTCCCAATATAAATAACTTAGTGGGGGGGGGGACAGAGCTATAGCATAGCAAGTCGAGTTTTGGCTCAATCCATGGTATTCCATATGGTCCTCAGCCTGATAGGAGTGATCACAAAGTGC